GGTGGGGGATGGAGGCAGCAGGCCAAAATTACAGTGGCAGCAGGCAAGGCCACCGGGAAATGCTAAGCTATGCTAAGCTAAAAGAGCTGATCGAGCCCATATTATCTCCGGCATCCAAAACACCAAACTTTCCAAGTAGCATTGGCGAGCACCAGGACCTTAAATTCAAGCACCTGGCGCAAGAAGAGCACTTCTGTGTGATGCTAATGGTCTAATCCGATTCAATGATTTATGCAATGCTAAGCTAAGTTAAATAAGCTGATCTAATTCATCTCATATTATCTCCTGCATCCAAAACACCAAACTTTTTTAGGTCTTCAGGTTTCATCACAGCATTGGCTAGGTTGGTCAAGCTGGTTTTAGCTGGTCATCTCAAAGCCTGACCAGCTAAAACCAGCCTGGAAATTGCCAAAACCCCTCTAAAACCAGCCTGGTCCACCAGCTAAAACCAGTCAACCAGCCTAGGCTGGTTTAAGATGGTTTTTTCAGTAGGTAAGAGCACTTTCATTATATGCTATCTGATTCAATGATTTATGCTAAGCTAAGCTAAAAGTGTTCCCTCCAGACCGGGAAATCGACTAAATGGTTTAAATAGAGTCATTTTTTCTTTGACAGTGTAGGTGACTTGTAAGGTAACTTGAGTGCTCGTTTAATGAAAAAGTACTGATCTAAGACAACTAAACAAAAATCCACCTCATATTATCTACTGCATTCAAAACACCAAACTTTCCCAGGTTTCAACACAGCATTGGAGAGCATCAGGACTTTAAGTTCAAGCACCTAAGAGCACGTCCACGAGATAGACAAATGGAGAAATGAGTAGGAGTATGTCCAGAGCTGGTCCAGAGAGGACGAGAACTGCCAGCAGTGTCAAAGCCCACACATATTACCCTTTCCTTACCAGTACGTTTTCAAAGCTTCAAGTATGTCTCATGGCAACCAGTATGTGAGAGAAGACTGTGTATGACCAGACATTCCTCCGTTCCCAAATCAGTGCTAGAGAGCTAGAGAAAAAAAAACACATGTTAAAGAGAAGAGTGCAGCATTCCTGCGGAGGTAAAATAATGACATTTTTTTTTTTTAAAGAAAATAACATGTTGAATTGCAGGAGTGTCAAAATTATTTTTTTCTTTGGTGCACTGCAATATGGATGCGGACAATTCTGTATCGGTTCAGTAATAATCATAATCCGTTATTATACTGACGTCATTTATCTCGTATCTGCTATGTCTAAATAGCTTACTATAGCGAGGGAGGAGAGTGTGAGTATATACAACGCTCCAACTACTTAAAAACGCAGAAACTGTGCACAATTTCACTGTGTGTGTGTTTGCTGGACAGTCTTTCACTGACACTTACAGCAGAAGCCCCTATTTCACTGCGATTGAGAGAATGAAAGTACTCCATTGCTCTCTATCTCTCTCTGTGGCTCATTTGACCTGCTGGCGTGACTTTTCTTCTCCTCTCGGCTGTTACAGCGATACTTCTGGATACAGACATGAGCACTTGTCTGCAGAGTTTCCTCCACCGTGTATATCATGGATCAGCTGTGATCGCCGCTGCCGTTTATAAGAGTCACTCATCTGTAAAGTGCGCTAGCACGTAAGAGCCAATCACAGCCCTTTCTGTTGAGCGCTTGACCAATCAAAGGGGTGTAAGAAAGAACTTGCTAGACAACTATCAGAAAGCGAGCCGGATATTTATATTTGTTTATTTGCTATAAATGCTTGTGTTGTTTAAAGGTACAGTTTATATATCTGAATGTATTAAAGGACAAAATTGTATTACAAATAGTATCTAAATATATTTATACATTTTTATACAAGAATTGCTGTGAAAATATAAAACTGTGTATGGAAAGCATCGTCAATGCACCGAGATATCGAATTGAAACGAATCGATGGCAAGATAATCATAACCGGACCAAACCGTGAGACCAGTGTAGGTTCACACCTCTATTGAATTGCATTAACTGAAAAATGGGGCAATACATTTATAATTAATGCCAAATGTATTTATATATTTTATTTACTATTATTTTACATTTTTTATGCATTAAAATACAAGAACTTGTTGATTCAATGCATTGTTTTGCAATTCAAATGTTTAGCTAGAGAAAATTATGCAAAGTCTAAAGTGCATGGTACAAAATCATTAATGGCAAGTCACTTTTGCTATTTTAAGAATGGAAAAAATATGCTCTGCGCCCTGGTGCATGGTCTAACAGGGTTGTGCTTATTCTCTTAATGAGTTATGGGTGTGTTTTGAGCATAACATGCATTAAACTAATCAGAGTTGCTTTTCAATTGTGGTGCGCCGTGGCACATTTGCCATTTACATAGCGGACTTTGTAAGTGGAAAAACTGAACACTTCACTAGCAAAAAAAAAACAGTTTAACAGACTGTTCCGCAGCATGAAGATAAAGAATGAGCCTCCTCCAATTGACATCTTTCTCTTTACTTTACCTTGCTCCTTTACTTTACTCCTTTACTTTTGTGGATAAGGAAACGGTGGAAACTCCCTCCACTTAAGACATCCACTAGCCTACATATTCAATTTAGTTTGTTAGGCACAAAGATTTAGATTTGTTTCAAAACTATATTCTAAATGCATTTCTAATTTCCAGCAAATGAGTTTGGAGTTCTTTCCAAACACACGTCCTATTCTTATGCCCAATATGGGGATGTATACATCTAAAATCCGACAGGTAAACAAATCTAAAATTGTTTTTATTAAAACTAATATAAATATGCATATAATAAATAATACTGATAATAATATTATTATTCAAATGCAGATTGTCATGAATAAACTGAAAAAAGACCCCTGAGATGAATAAGGCAGTGGTTTTTATATTTACGTAGAAAATAATAATTTTTGTAAAAAAATTGTAAATAATTATTTTTTAGGGGTTTTTAACCTTTATTATAACAGGATAGTAGAGAATTTAGACAGGAAAGCATTGGGACCAGAGAGAGGGGAAGGATCGGCAAAGTAACTCGAACTCGGGTCACCGTGAGCACGTTGGTGCTATATGTCAGCGCACAGTACGTTTAGATACCGTGGTATACCATGTAACCGTATTACCGCCCAAGCTTATTTAGCACATTAAACAAGTTTTAATAACCATTTTCCTTTTGTTTTTCCCATAATGATAGTACATAATGTTTTACAAGATACTATGCAGCCTAAAGTGTAATTTAAAGGCTTAAAAAGATTATTGGAAAGCAGTGCTTTGTCAGGGTTTCTGCAGGTTTCACAGAGTTAAATTTAAGACTTTAAGACATTTTTAAGACCATTATGAATAGTTGAAGTTTTAGACTCATGAAGGGCTAAAGGCTAAGGAATAAGGGCTAAAGGCTAAGGAAAAGATTTTTATTTGACCTATCAAAAAAAAAATTATAATTTAATACGTTAAATAATACAATGATACATTAATAATAAACAATTAAAATATTTTAGATTTTATTTCTTAGCTAAATATTTTAAATATTGTGTAAATAAACTTTCTTTAAAATAAAAATTTTAAAAATACACAAATGTTTTAAAAGTTTAAAAATAATAAACTAAATCTATTCACAACAATCTGTTCCGTTTGGTGTTTTCAGCAGTGAATACATGGAGAATTAAAAAAAAAAAATGTTATTATGAGGAAATACTTAAACCATTATGATAAATAGAGGTAAAAATTACCTTTTCAAATAAAAAGTTTAAAGTTTTATTGATTTTTGGTGATTGTATGAGTTTTGGCCAGATTAGTAGCAATACATTAACAAAACAAAATTAAGACCTGTTTAAAAAAGATTTAAGATCTACAACACAATATTTTTTAAGGCCTAAAATTTGGATTTTGAGATTTAAGACACCGCAGACACCATGTTTGTTCTGTAGCCAATTGAAATTAAAATCCTAAAGGGGTTGATAATACTGACAGTAGTAGTTTTTTTATATTTATTCTAGCCAAAATTAAAGATAAATAAGACTTTTATCCAGCAGAAAAAAAAAAACAGAAAATTCTTTAAAAAAGGGTATTTCTCTGTTAAAAAGCATTGGGGAAAAACTGAAAAAGAACATTTATTTTTTTTCCTTCCATGAACTGTTTAATAATCCACCTAGTAAAAAAATCTGATTGGTTTAAGGTGCTGTATGTATTTTTGACTCTTCTAAAGCCTACAAATACCATAATATGTTTGCAGATATTTAGGAACATGCTTCTTATTTATCAGAAAAACAATGCTGAAGTCAGATATTCTGCTTTGAAAATGTGCGTTATGTGCCGGAACGCCTGTCTTTGTTTTGGTTTGCTTTGTTTAACCCGCCCACTGCCAGTTTAGCCAATTATATTTCAGCAGATGTTGTAGATGTTGAATCACTGATATGTGTTGGTTTGCACTGAGTCACAGTTCTGAAGTTCAGTTTCAAACGGTTTATTTTATTTTCAAGCTCTGCTGCTGCTTTCAGTATGGCAATAAATGTCATGTAAAATGCGATTCAAACTCACATTATAAGCATTTAACACTGAATAAAGCACATGAGGTGCATCTAAGATGATCACAGTTCACCTGTGAGAAATAGAAGCCGTTTCTAAAACAGAAATTTCAGGTGTTGGTTAAGACAAAAACCGCATTTAGTATTAAAAATATTTTCACGTGCTAAATAAAATAATACATAAATAAAATAATATCACATGCTGTTAATTTTATTTAGAACACGACTTAAATCAGCCTTTAGTCTCGACAGTCAGGCATGTTCACATTAATCTGGCAACCTGCGCTTGGGTGGACTCGTCAGAGGAGAAGCCAAGTGAAAATGTGTATCGATCAATGAGTGCAATACCTAGTTCAACCACTGGGTGTCAAACTTACATACTCCACCCTTATAAAAAAAAGTAGTTGAGCTTGACAAAAGTATAAAACGCACAACAAATACTAAAACATCCGATTACGAATTGTGAAAAATAAATAACCAAGGAATCTCTAGACAAAAAAAATCCAAACAATGCAAGTTTTACATGTGCTGTGTTTATTTGAACAATTCTGTTACCAAATATCTATTAAATATACATCTCTCATTCAAGTTCAAAGCATCAGAGGAGACTGCTAAATCCCAGCATTTACAAGCGCGTCTGGATCACCCCGTCCTCCCCCCATAGGCAGGCATTTGGCTTTCTCTTGGACTGACCGTACAGAACGAAACACGTCTGAAGCGAAACAGCGAGAAAAAAAAAAAAAAGCGAGCGCGAGCGTCTCCACGACTGTAAAGCTCAGGATATGAGAAGCGCTGGACGGTCACTCCAGCTCATGAAGAAGATTAGATTTAGATGGGGTTAGAAACCATAATAGAAGCCATCCTGCCTTAAGTGTTACAGCCAGGAGACAAGAATCATAAATTACAGTCCAAAGGATTTTTTGTATGCTTTTTTACATTGTTCATATAAAGGTTACTTTAAAAAAATACACTTCTATGACTCCTATGCGACAGTTTTGAAGGTCTGCAGTATCAAGTTGGTTTGGTGGATGAGCCGGTTGGCACTGGCAAACACGTTTATTGCCCTGGAAGAAAGACAGAACACAAATTAGGTCTGAACACATGTTGATGCTGTAGAGCAGGGGTCACCAAACTTGTTCCTGGAGGGCCGGTGTCCTGCAGATTTTAGCTCCAACCCTAATCAAACACACCTGAACAAGCTAATCAAGGTCTTACTTGGTATACTTGAAACATCCAGGCAGGTGTGTTGAGGCAAGTTGGAGCTAAACCCTGCAGGGACACCGGCCCTCCAGGACCAGGATTGGTGACCCCTGCTGTAGAGTATGTGAAACAATAAACTGTGGTGACCATTATTTTACAGCTTTAAGTG